ATATTGGTGTTCGGATTTATTTTCTTATTTAGACCATTTTCTTTCATTCTAGATAGTTGTCAAAACAAAATTCAACACAAGTTATTTTGTATTTATCAGATTCTTCAAACAAAATGGCGAAAGAAGTCACTTAAGATAAATATGAGTTTTGACTTCGCCTACTTTCATATTTATATTTCATATTAAATTTTTATTTCTAAAATATGAGATATATTTGATAGATATGGCACCATATTTCATGGGTAAAATTAAATAATTCTGTTTATATAAAGTCATCGAGTGCAAACGTATTATATCAAATAAAGAACACAGATGGCTGGTAACAAAAAAACGTATGATAATCTGGTAAAATGATTGATGCGACAGGGACAAAGCTCGATGAAACATTTGCCTTTAACCATTCTAGTGGATATTGAGGTAATGTTGCAATGTATATAATATATATCAAGTGAAACTGTAATATCAACCATGGTCTGTCTTAATAAAAGAAGCCAAAGAACATAGTAAATACATAGCAACATAAGAAAGTACATAACAGACAATTGCTATCAACATGCCACATGCAATCGTCAATTTGACATGCTTGGGGCTATCTCATCTACTATTAAATAAAACAATACATAATACCAATAAATGCCATAAAATACAACAAAAAACAAACAAAAACAGATTATCACCCTTTGTGAAAGTGTATCAAGACGTTTTCAGTAATTCAAAATTAAACACATTTACTTTCCTGATGTGTTCTTTCGAAAGTATATTCATGAATGTTAGGTGTGGTTGTCATATAATAAACAGTGATATATTTAAGTGATAGGAAATTATTTTATAAACATACAACAAACTGTTCATGATTTTGTATCCCTTCAAGAGGGGACTATTTGCAATAAACAAAAACTTTGATTGATGTGATAACATTTTAAAGCCTCAATGTAAGTCCTTTTGTTGTATGTTTCCCAGAACAACGTGATTTAATTTGGTAAAATGAAGTTATATCACGCCTATAAGAAGAAGCAATTTATTTGCTCTAGCGGAAGAGTTATACATAGGTTATGGGATTTATCGATGTATATACAAATTCGCTTATTGCCGTTCATTATTTCCATTTAATACAATGGCATTGTTTAGGTCAATATAGGGCATTGTTTAGGTCAATATACTTAACTTTCACAGTTGTGCTGTATCGGCCTTCAATGTCATAGATTTCTGTCATTCCATCAGAAACGGTGAATCGACCACAAATACAAAAATGTATGTACACTAAACAAAAAGGAAAACATTGATCCAGTCATTTTATGTGGTTCGCTCTGATAACTTACAAATATGCTACTGGCGTACATGTGTTCACTTTTAATAACAAAATTAACATGCGAGAGTTACATGTTACTGAACCAATGAGTATTTGATATCATTGCAGCTTAGAAGAAATCACTTAATAGCATAACATGTGTATATGTGTTTTATTATTATACAGCTACACGTATTGTTACAACTTAATTATTAATTTAACAGTATAATTTCTTTGACAGTCTAGACTCAATAACCATCCCCACACAAAGAGCACTACACATTCACAAACTCAAGGTTATAAGAACGATGCTAATGGAATGAAATATGGTTTATTTAAATTTTAAGTGTGAATAATATGACGCTGTAATAGTGAAGAATATGATACTGTAATATGTTTTAAGAAATTCAAGAAAACTGTACACACCATATACATTACATTGCTAATAGACAAACTGGAAACCTAAACAGATAAGCAAAAATGAAAAAGGTTACATGTCCGGTAAACTTTATCCTTGTCGACGGTTTTTTGTGTGTAAAATTTGAAGTTTATACATCCGCTGAATAATATGTTTTACCTGTGATTATATAATCTTAAGGTCGACATTTTGAACCATAAATTACAATTATTTTAAAATCTATAGGAGATAAGAATGATCCCTCCTATTACATCTTGCACCTGCGTATACAGTATTGGATAAAATACAAAACTTAACCCTAAACGACCATATAACGAAAATGTTTTAAAAAGTTCAGTTATGACATTGTTTTACTGTTCAATGACAATTCATCATAAATAAAAACAACAGCGTAATATCTAAGATAACGCAACGGAAAGCGTTTATGGTTGCTGTGTAGGATTATATAAATTTATTAATTGCTGAAGATTCTTCAAACGTCAAATGGAATTAATGACTTCCAAATATAATATGTTTATGACTAGTATTATTTCTAGTTTGAATAATTATGGCTTAATGAGATGAAGTATATGCATCATTTCCTGTTAAAGTGACATTGTCATTAAAGGAAAAACTAATGCCTTTCCTGCCTTTGTACTGAAGTTTTTAACAATTTATGAGGAGGTCAATTTGCCGTAATTTTCAAGGTATGAATTTATATGGATGTTATCACACCATTTCCCTCGGTGTCAGGAAATAACCTTTTTAGAAATTGTTAGAAGCATGCCTAATTACAAATACAATTGATGTTCGAGAAAGGATTTACCGGACGAGTGGGTTTCAATATCATATTATGTGATAGTTATGGGAATCAGCACTAAATACGATGTTTTAGTACAACTATAATACCTCGTTAGGATTTTAGAAATTCGTATAGATAATTATTCTGAAAGTCAAAAATACGAAAACTAAAATTTTACAGTGTTGAAATATAGGAAAGCAATTGAAAAAAATTGAAAAAAAAACACGGAATCCTAAAACTTGCCAGCAAAATTAAAAGTGGTTGTTAAATCAATTTGATATAACCACTTATCATTGGACATGAAACGTATTGCAAACATTTATGTCATAGAGCTACGTGCCAGATTATCGAAAGTATTTAAATTAAAGCAAACTTGAGAAAATAAAAAATATGATTTTAGAAAAGTTAAAACATTCAAGGAATAATTAACATGTTATGTGCGATTTATGACTGACATTTCAGTATTTATTACTATATTTTTCTACTGCGTTAATAACGCAGTAAAAGTTAATTTTGCATATGTTGACCTTTTTTGGTAAGCATGTGGTCTGCAAGTGCCACTGATAATGTGTAAATTGCTTCCCTTTGGTTATCTCACACTTTTATATATTTAAATACATTTTCAAAATTTCATGAACATTAGCATGAACCTGGAGACATGCTGCTTTAAAGCTTTCTATAGGCTTTGTTTTAAATTACTTTGTAAAGGAACACAAAAGAACGCAAATGAATTTTGGTAATGGAGACACACATAAATACGACAATCGTATGCGTTTTTGGCATATGAATTTGCATTTTATGATAAATATATATTTTGTTATTCATCCAAAACTTATCATAGAATATTGTTACCAGGATGTTTCAACCTATATGTTTTCAGCAAAGAAATTATCTGTTTAAATTGTATATTCAAACGAAATCACCAAGTGTAACAATATTATATAAAATGTATAAAACAGCAGACTGATAACATAATAAATTGTATGGTAATCTATTAAAAATGATTGATGTGTCTGAGCGCAAGAGCTGAGCTTGATAAAAGATATATCATGCTTTATACAACACTGTGATTTCGATAAAGAATATTGTGCTTCCAGAAGCGCTGCCATGTTTGTTAGAGAAACATGTCATGCTCAAACTCGCCTAGGTATCTTGCAACAACTGGTTTAGGAGTTTTTGCATAGAAAACTTTCACGTATTGTTACAAAGTATTTTTGTTTCATAAACAGTCACACAGTGTAATACTTTTATACTTGTTATACTTTTATGAATAACCCTAATTTTTGAATGAACATAAATTACGTGTAAAAGATTGTTATTTATATTTGAACAATAACATCATTAATAAACTACTCGTATGAAAAAATATTTCAAGCGGTGCTATATTAAATTGGTTCTAATAACTAAATGCGCAAAGAACAAAACAGTTTACAGCGTTTAGAGAAAAAAAATAAATCAATGTAGCTAAGAAACAATTTTGGCAACTTAAATACTATAAAAGTATATGAGAGCCAAAATGTACTTTGATAACAGTAATCAGTAATCGAAATACATAAATGTTTTTGTCAAGGAGAAGATGTGGCGAGAATTATTCATTTCAGATAGTCTACTTTCCCTTCAGTAAAGTACAAACAAATTGATCTACCTTTCACACAGACACACAGACACGCAAGAAACTCCATTATCATTGTTTATATAAAAACAGATTTCTGACTAGCAATCATGCATTTCTTTATCATAATTATGTTGTAAAGGGTAATAATTTTAATTTCTACGTATAACTATCATGGGTAAAGATATAGCTTAACATACTTCCTGTTTGTGTCTAAACACATTTATTGGTTTGGGCCGCCTATTAGTAAGTGCAAAATATTTTTTGTTATTATCTATTTGACATTTTGTAAATTCTAGACATTAATCTATGAAGTGGTGAAAACATTTTTATCAATAAATGAAGTTATCCTCAAATGTAACAATAATTCATTTTCCCCAAGTGAAATATAATGTAGATAATTCAGTTGAGTAAGGTTTTGAGTTCCTCTTTTCAATTTCATTGGACAATACACACAATCACTGCTTGATATGACTGTTTTTTGGTATCATTTACCCCAGTTGAATTGTGAAATGTTCTCGAGGAAATCATTATAATGGTATTGCATTAGTAACTATATTATAACGTTGGGACAAAGATAGCAATTCACTGATTACTTTTGCCGTACATTACCATGTTGCATATTCGTTCAACTGCTAAAACAGGCCAAGTGGATTATTTAATATATATATTTTTCTTCTATTTAAATGCTGAAAAGCATTTGGTTACACTGTACAAATCATGTAATAATAGTGTTGAGTTTTATTTTATTCCTAGAACAAGAAATACTTGGTCATAAATGACATAGCCAACTGTTAACCGTATCAAAGCTCAAGTAAGTTCTACACTTGTAGGACCTTTAAAATTACAAATTGATTTAAATCGGGTATTTCATTTAAACACACTCAGAGCTCCAGCGCGGATGCTTTCACGCGACGTGAGAGTGATTATACAATGTTAATTAACGACCGGGATCCAGGTCAGACGAGTTCACTTTCATCGGGGGTAAAGAAGGGTCATGCTAACGATTTCGAGACGTTTCGGCCCAAGACATATCGGCCCCAAATTACCCAATACGAAGTATTTTTAAATCCACAGCGTGGACAGACATTCTTTTCTTATAGAAAAAAAAATACTTGATTTTTTTTTCGAATGTATTATCATAAAAGATTCCATAACTAATGATACAACGATGCAAAAAAGAAAAACCGATGCCCATGAAAAATTTTAATGTGTTCAACTTTTTAGTTGCGTATGACCTAATCTTCGAACATTATTTTTTAGTTGCGTATGACCTAATCTCCGAACGTTTTCAACATTTTGATTTTGTTAAAAGAATAAATTTATACAAGTTATAAATACCACTTACAGTAAGTTTTGTTTACTTCGAATATTTGATAAAACTAATATTTAACTAATCTATTTTGCTTGAGCTCAGTGCCGTAACACTGCCGATTTACTGTTTCATTGTTATTGATTCGTACTTAAAAGTTTCGTTCCAAAAAATATATAATTTCTTTCTTAAACAAATATGACATTAAGATGTATGAATTTTAGATCATAAAAGTTTTGGATATTATTTTTTTAATAATGTAGTCTTAAATGTTTAGAATTTAAGTGAATTATCCTAGTAAAAAAAAGACATGTGTACAGACAGTACATGTATAGATCTATTGCTGAAGTGGTAATGAATTTGTTTTTAGAGCATATAAAAATAGTTATCATTTTCTTTTCAGACATCTTCAGAATGTCACAAAAGAAGATTTTTAATTTCTTTCAAAGCACGGAGAAGTCAAACTCATTGGTATTGGTGAAGGGTATATTGAATGACTTAGTCAGTGATGTTATTATTAAAAATTCATCAAAAAAACACGAAACTGTAAATGACAAAACATTAGAAAAATGGAAACAAAATTACCCATGGTTAATTGTATCTACTATGCATGAAAAAAAGACATTGAAATGTAAATTATGTTCTGAGTTTAAAACAAGTACAATATGGGCAAAGGACGGTACAACCAATATTCAAAAGTCTACTCTTGACCGTCATAATGAATGTGATCCCCACATTGAAGCATGTAAATTATCTATCAAAAAACTTGATATGGAACTCGCACCAGAGAACAAGTTGGAAAAAGGTAAAATTGACAATGCAGATGTGTATCTAATGAGAACAGTGTATATGGTAATGAAAGAAGAGTTACCTTTAGATAAAGTTAATGCCATTCTTGAATTACAAAGAATTAATAAAGCAGACATTTCTTACCGAAATTTAAGCTGGACAACCATCACAGAAATACAAAATCTGATAGCTCTTATACTCAAGGAAGACCTTATTCAAAGGTTGAGATCTTCAGAATATTTTGCCATGTTGATTGATGAAACCACTGATGTATCAATTTCTAAACGTCTCTCTATTTGTGTAAGGTATATTCACAATGGTATTCCGTACACTGATTTTCTTGCTAACATTGAGTTAAGTGATGGATGTGCCCACACTATTGTTACTGCATTATTAACTTATTTTGAAAAATGTGAAATTAACACAAGTAAGTGTGTTTCCTTAGCCACAGACGGAGCTAGTGTCATGGTTGGAAAAAAAACTGGGGTTGGTGTACAGTTGGTAGCTAAAGCTGCACCATTTTGCGTACAAACACATTGTGTAGCCCATCGACTTAATTTATCAATTACAGATGCAATTAAAGACAATGATGCAATGAAAAAATTTAATGTGAAATTTGGTGAGCTATTTAACTTTTTTAGCAATTCTGGTAACAGAACTTACACCTTACGTCAGATGCAAACACTCCTAGATGAACCTGAACTTTCTATTAAGGCCCCTTATCCTGTCAGGTGGCTAGGTCTGAAACGTGCAGTGGAAACAGTACATGAATGTTATGGATCACTATTGGCAACACTGTCAAGTATAGGTGTGAATGATACAAAGGCTAAAGGCCTTTACAAGTACTTTTCCTCTTATAAAACTGCTATACTTATTGGTTTAATGTGTGATGTTCATGTGGAGTTGGGAAAACTTTGTTGTACTCTGCAGTCTGAAAAACTTATGTTTAGTGATGTACCAGCTATTGTGGAAAGTACAGTGAGTATGTTGAACATTTTGAAAACTAATGATGGTGAGTGTTTTAAAATCATGAAAGGAAACCTTAGGTATGAGGAAGACAAGGTCTTTTATGGCAATGAAGAGCTGACAAATTATTCTCTAAATATAGATTCACAAATTGAAACTGTAAGACAGAATTACTTAAGTAATCTCATTAAAAACATAAAACGGAGAATACCCAAACATGATAGTAAGCTAATGTTGAGTCTAAACGAGGTCCTGGAACCATCTATTGTAAGAATGGCCTCTCCAGAAAGCAATGAAACTGCTCTGCAGTGTCTGATAGACCATTATGGTAATGACAAAGTTATAAAATCAGTATCTGGTAATATGATCAGTGGTTATGTTGAGACTGTAAAGCCTGTTGTGAAAATAATTCAGAGTGAACAGTTGCTTAAAGAATGGCCAGGTGTTTGTGGTATGATGGCAGGTTGTTACAAAAATTTGAGCCTTCCTGAGTTCTGCCAACGAATAATTCTTAAGCACAAAGACCAGTTCCCAAACATAGCCAAACTTGCTGTAATAGCACTATGCATGCAGGTGACATCAGTTGAATGTGAGCGCTCATTTAGCACTCAAAATCGCATAAAAAGCAAATACAGGTACACAAATTTGCAAATTTTATTCTTATGATTATCATAAATAATAAAAGGAAAATATAATAACAATAAAGAATGTTAAATAATAAAAGGAAAGTAATTATATAACAATAAAGAATGTAACAAATCTGGTTAAAATTTCATTTGTAAATGCTATTAACTTCAAAAATAAAAGAATATCACAGGTATGTTATAAAACTGTTACTGTAATGAATTAACATAAATACATCACAGTTTGCTTTTTATTTCAGTCTTTAAGTTTATAAAATATTATTTTATGTATATATTTCCAGGGCCTCCCTTGGTGATGTTTCCCTTGAGGCTCTCATGAGGGTCAGCCTGTTTGGACCAAGTGTTGAGAATTTTGATAGTGAACAATGTGCTAGGCAGTGGTTGACCAAGAGAAGGCGAAAAAAGAGACTTACTGCGGAGTACAAACCAAGAGAACCAAAAAGAATGAAGCTTACGAAGTGTTGACTTTTTAATCAATAAATTTATCCTGATAATTATACAACTAAAATACAACTGAAAACAGTTACATGTATATGAAAACAACAATTTTGAATAAATAACCATCTGTATAAGGCTCAAGACTTAAAATCATTATTTTTACTCATGGTGATTTTGAGATATGCATTTTTACTCCTCACTCTTGATTTTGAGGGGTAAAAACCCCTTGGCCCAAAAAATTATCTGGAGCTCTGCACACTGTTGTCCTAATAGTAGTAATACGTTACAAAAGGCAGGGCAAAACCTTAGTTTACAACAAAGTACACTGATGCCTGTATATAATTGCAAAGATCTTAACATTGAATTTCAAAGATAAATTTCGATTCTTTGTTCATTTTATATCTCCGTAAATTTTGTGATTTTCTTTTTTACCGAATGATATAACATTATATGATTTTTATTATAATATAAAAAAGTCTTTGTATTGCAAAATAATTTATTATATGGTCTAAATATCGCTGCAATCTCATTGGTCTAAACAGTAGTCAAGAGAACTTTTTTAAAATCATATTCACTGGTTATAGTATCATATTCACTGGCTGAATTGGATGTCCCCAGTCTAAAAATAGATTGAGACTCATATCCAATGACCATACACCGTAGACTGTTAATTACACGTGTTAATTAAAAGATAATTGTTTCATGTTGTAGTCAAAATTTGTACATGTATAAAAGTTATACTTTTTGTAGTTTTTTGTTTTAAAATATCTTATCCTATTTATATAATAAAACAATTATTGACCAGTGAGCCATTGAATATGATGGGATATTCACCGGAAGAAAGTCATATTGACCTCGGCTATCGTCTCGGTCAATATGTCATCTGCCGGTGAATATCGCATCATATTCAATGGCTCACTAGTCAATAATTGTATAGTATTTAATAACAGACATCATTCACATTTGTTTTCTGTGAAATTCTTGTGTCATGTCAAGAAGTAAATGACCTTATAATGTAAAGAAAAAATACAAACAAAATACTGACCATCATAAAACTAGTTAATTATTTTATCACTTTTCATTGTATTGTGAAATACTTTCAATTGATTTAATATCAAATAATTTCTGTTCTGCAGTATTTGCATTTCCAGCTTTAAGCATCATAATATAAAAAAATGACAGTAACTAATTTATGTGTTTATAAGACAATAATTATTAAAATTTAAGCGGGACAAGTTTGTACTATTAAATAACATTTCGTTACAAGTCAAGACAAAATAAGGGATCGTTCACGGCACCATAGCATCGGCTTACGCAGTATTCAAGCGTAAACTGAGCGTGTTTGAAAATGTTCCCGAAAAATCAGAAAAAATATGGCAACATAGGAATAAATTACGGTGCAACTGTTGATAGCTTCCAAACAATACGTTACACCGTGACTAAGGTTTACTAAGGAATATCCTTTTGTTCAATGATGTGGACAATTGCAGAATATAAGTTTAAGTTTTTAGAAAAGGAACAAACTTTTTAATGAGTTTAAATGTTAGAAACATGTTATAGGAACTACTCGAAATAAGTCTTCTTACTTACTGTTACTATGTTATGAAAGAGTGCATATTAAATGAAATACTTTATTATTTATTAATTATAAATAGCATATTAAAGCTTAAAGCTAACAGATTACAACATATACCGTTTACATTACTTATGATAATATTTGAGACTTATAAAACCCGAAGTCATTTCTTTAGAATCAAATAAGTAATAGTTTCTCTAGATATTTCTAGTTTAAATAGATAATGCAAAATATAAACACTTTTCTGCTAAGTCATATTGATATAAGATGAAACTTGAATGTCTTGATACCTTCGTATTCGTATTTCAACTTTATAAGGAGCTCAAGTTGATGTAATGATCAATGCATATACTAATATTGATGTTGAAACCTATTTCCCACGGTATCGGGAAGTAAACTTTCAGTAAATTAAGAGGAATACTTCATTATGTTGTACACAGTATTCAACCGAAGAGGGATTTCTATATCATAATGTTTTCTATATCAACTCGCAATTCGATGTTGTTCTAATATGACTCTACCGACTTATTGAGACTGCGCGTACAAATGTGTCTTCTAAAAACATGAAAAACATGAAATAGTTATGTTTGTTATCAAATATCTCTTTAAATATTAGATGTTTATATAAGTGTTTTCACTCATATGTTGCGTGTTATACATATAAAGAGACAACTGATATCCTCTGATATTGTTGATGTCATCACGTTTGTCATGCTACGCTAATAATAACAAACAATAACGTTATTTTACCCAATCATTCCGCTTGTTTGATCCTTTGTGTATTATACGACTGAACCAAATTGATAAATTATAAATAAATTTAAATATAACAATAACATGGCAACAATTAAGAGAACATTTAATATATTATATAGTAAACAATAAGATCTAAATGGTTAAAATTAGGGTACACATTTTAAAAACAGATATACATATAAATTATATGTTCTGACATACATTTAAGGTAGGGCAAAAGTATGCCAAAAATACGGAAACTGTTCAGCAAATGCAAATGCAAATAGTAAAGACAAAAGAAATCATATAAATACGTTATTTCTCAATAAAAAAGTCGACATAATTATTGTACTGAGCTTTGATGCATATACATGAAAACTCATTCTCTTTAAAAAAATAAACAAGGTTATGCCAAACTATTGAAGATACAAAATTAAAAAAGACGTGCGCATTTTTAAAGATTTAAGCTTCATTCCTCTGGTAAATTGAAAAATGAGTTCAAAAAACATATGAAATGTGCTTTCGGCGTGATTAATGATCTGCAAATCTAAGATTAACGGCATACACTCACGCGTTTCTTATAATAATGTCATTGCAAGATAAATGTTCTCTAGATAATCCTCTATCTATCATTTGATCCACATATTTGTTCAATTACCTAGAGAAAGAACAGTGATTGACATTTTGATATTATTACAGTAATCAGTGTGTGAAGAAAAGCGGTCATATATACAATATCAGCTTATTTATCGTGTAGTGATTGCTGAATATAAAATATAATAATTAACAATATGTGATATTGCTGGATAATGACCCCTTATTTTGTAATTATATGAAAAAAGGATCTTTATGACAAAAACAAAATTCATCAGCTTGAATCTTTTAAGGAGATGTGTTATTTTTTTTGAAGATAATTTATGGCAAAATCACAATAATCTGGAGCTACATTGAAAGAAAAGCAGCAATTAATAAATAATTCAAAGCTATATGCTGTAAAATAAACATGTTAGTTTAATAGGTAAACTTTCTAAATTTAAGCTCTTAAAAATTGGTAAATTGTACTCACCGTAAGTTCATTTTCAAGTATATTTACAATGTAATTAACAAGTAAGTTACTAAACCTATTCCGGTGCTTCATTTCAGTGTCGGTCGTTTAAAGTAAATTCAATGAATAGGAAACCGTTGTTCTCTTCTTACATGAACTTACATAATGGCAGCCATCGTTGATCCCTCTATGTTAAATTTTAACGGAGGTTCAATATCTGGAAAAGAGGTCATCCTTCGGAAGCATTCAAAACAGCATAATACTTGAAATTTGCGGACTCGGCTAAGATTGAGCCTGTACATGAGGGATAATAAAGAATTCAGCATCCCTTACGCCTCCTAGCACCTACTTGAGCGGTTCTCAATTCCCAACACTTTTAAGCGCTAGACTCAAGTATCCCGAAGGCCAAAAAAATAACAATAGCATCTATCTAATTAACAGACAGATTCAGCTGTTTAAGTTGCAGTTATAGTGAGCGTTAACTTTGAGCAACAGAAGTTAACACAACGGTTTATTTAAAAAGGTGTTAGTTGATGGAACAGACAGAGCTTTAAGCAACTTGCCTTAGATGTCTAAAACGTTTACAAAAGCTTAGTTGTTCTTAGACTGTTCGTGCGTTTTTCTAATAATATTTTTTGTGCCAACTAATCGCTTAATGTGATAACTTTTTTATCTTCGTTGTCTTTTTTTCATTTATAATTTATCTTATACGAATATATAAAAAAAAGGCCAGATAATTTAAAAAAAATATACCAAGAGTACAAGAGGTGTATTCTACAATTTGCATTTTAAGTTTAAGAGTTATCGTATTAACAAATAATATCTTTACAAAATAAAATATCATATAACTTGTAATACAGCGTTATTTGATACTTATTATTATAAAGAAACTTGACATAGCATAATATATATATTTAGGCAAACAATCACGACACCTGTAGACTAATGCAATTGTTAACACTCCCATCATACTTCACAATCAGTTATTCGACATTTGACAAGGACAAGAGCAATGGCCGACAATATTATATCAATTAATAGAACGTGTGTATTTTCATACGATTTAATAAATTCTGATGTTAATTTCATTTTAAATGGTAAAACAAAGATCCTTTCAACATACTATTAACATCAGAAATGTAGACTTTCAGCAGATCCACATTTAGGTCATATACAAAATTACATTTATTATAAAAATATGTGTGTATGACATACGTTAATTGAATTTAAGGTCTGTACTATATAATTGAGAAAGTAAGAATCTTTCAAGAAAGTTCAAAACGGCAAAATTGAGAATGTTGCAGGCTCTGTTTAATTTAGCCGTTCATGGGCGGTACTATAAAGTCGCCAAGAGACAGCATCATTCTGGACATTTTACCAAGGCGGCGATAAAGCAATGATTTATAAAATTATTTCCATTATGGATTATTCAAACCATTTATAAAACTTTAAATTTAGTGGTTATATTGAAATATAAAGACAAATCCGTATTAACTATATCCCATGTTCCATCTGTAAAAACAGCGCATGTGAAAATCTCAAACCAGATCATATCTGGAAACATTTTCCAATAATTTAACAGTCAATTCTCACTTTTGGTAAAGAATTAACAGGCTAGCTGTCAGCAGCCGGATGGTATTCATATTATTTACACTTAATGTGTTGACAATT